TAGCCTGGGGGCCCTTGGGGACCTGGAAGAGAGAGAGAAAGGAGCAGGAAGGGCAGGAAAACCCATCCCGGAGTGGGTGACCACACGGAGGGAAGGGGCTCACCTGGGGGTCCTGGGGGGCCACTGTCCCCCATCATTCCTATGCCTTTCTCACCCTTCTCTCCTTTGGCACCAGGCTCACCTGGAATCATAGAATTTTTAGGGTTGGGATGGAGCTTAGAGAACATCTAGTCCCAGCTCCCTGCCCTAGGCAGGAACACTTCCCACCAGAGCAGGTTGCTCAAGGCTCATCCAACTTGGCTTTGAGCACTGCCAGAGTTGGGGTAGCCACAGCCTCCCTGGGCAACCTGTGCCAGTGTCTCACCACCCTCACAGAGAAAACTCCTTCCCAATATCTAGCCTGAATTTCCCCTCCTTCAATTTGAATCAGTTATCCCCTTGTCCCATCAAGAGGAAGGGAGGTGGATAAAAAGTGGTGAGAACCCAACACAACCACAACATCTCAGCACTCAGGGGCAGCAGGAACACCCTAGGGATGTGGGAATGCCCTGGGGACACTGGGAGCAGCACCTACCCCTCATGCCTGGCACGCCCTGCCGCCCCTCTCTGCCAATCTGTCCTGGCATCCCTGGGGATCCAGGGGGTCCTGGTCGTCCGGGCAGCCCATCCTTCCCGGGGGGACCAGGTCTCCCTGGAGATGCCACCATCTCCACTGGGAAGTGCAGCCTGGAGGTGTAGTATGCCATGCGTTCTGCAGGAAGAGTGATCACCTCTCAGTGCCACCAGGGACAGGGTGATGATGCCAGGGGATCACCTGCCCCTGTGCCCACCACCCTGTTACCATCAAACATCTTGTTCAGCTCCTGCCGGATGAACCTCTTGATCTCGTCGTAGTTCACCACATCTCCCTGGGGGGACACACGAGGGGCCGTGGCCACTGTGCCCTGCAGGGGGACAGGCTCCTGCACCCCAACATGCCCATCCTTCCTTACCATCATCCCTGGAGGTCCTGGCAGCCCAGGGCTGCCTGCAGGTCCCGGTGATCCAGGGGGTCCCCTCTCTCCCGCGGGTCCCCGTGGCCCCACGAGGCCCATGGAGCCACTCTTGCCTGGCCCCCCAGGCATTCCAGCTCTGCCCTTCTCTCCAGGGTACCCTCTCTCTCCAGGGGATCCAGCATCACCCTGTGGAGACATGGGAGGCAGTGGCTGTGTGGTGCCAGGATGGCTGTGGGATGCCAGGATGGCTCTGGTGGCACAGCCAGGATCTCCTCACCTTCTGTCCAGCTGGTCCTGCAATCCCTGGTTTTCCTGGAGGACCCTGAGGACACACAGGAGGAAGGTGGCAGGGGTGTCCTCCTCATGGGCACCATGGGGACATCATGGCCTAGCCAGAGGATGCTTGACCCAGCCTCAGGTCCAGCTGGGCAGGAGAGCTCCAGAGCCCACACTCCTACCTCTTTCCCAACTGGTCCATCTGGTCCCTGCTCCCCCTGTGACATCAAAGTGGGGCAGTGTGAGCTGATGACCACCATGGTGCCATCCTCAAGGTCCCCAATGCACCAGGGTGCAGGGGTCTGTGCCACCCCTGTGGTCTCACCGGTGGTCCAGGGTGTCCTGGTGGTCCTGGCTGTCCTGGCATCCCTGGCAGACCTCTCTCCCCCACAGAGCCACGCTCACCCTTCAGCCCCTGCATGGAGGAAGGAGCCAGAATGGGAATCAGTGCAGGATGGGGATGGGAACCCCCAAACCTGCTCTCCATGGCACCACCAGCCCCATCCCAACCCCCAAATCCCACAACTGGGGCTGGGATGGGGGTTCCAGCCCTGGCAGTACTCACCACTCCTGCAAGACCAGCAGGACCTGGCTGTCCTGGGCTGCCAGGGGGGCCCTGTGGGCACAGAGAGGGGTGTCAGTTGGGGGGTTGGGGGTGATGCCCCCACTCCCTGCACTGGAGGGAGTCCCCACCATGATCCCCACCATGGGACACCACAGGGGAAGGTCCAACTTACAATGAGCCCTGGGGGTCCTTGCCGGCCTTGGGGTCCCATGGGTCCGGGGTCACCCTGGGGAAGCAGAGTCAGGAGGGGCAGCATGATGCCCACCCAGCTCAGGGGTCCTACACCCACCCCTCACTCACCTCTGCTCCTGGCCGGCCTGTGATTCCTGGGGGTCCAGGTTTGCCACAGTCACCCTAAAAGGAGGAAGGACATCATGGGCAGAGAAACACATGGAGACCTTGGTGAGGTTACTGGGGATGTCACCACCAAGTGTCTCCCAGTACCAGGTCCTGGGAGACCTGGGTGTCCTGTCTTCCCCTTGAAGCCCTGGAGAGAGAAAAGAGCTGGGTGGGGGTCCTGACTCCCACCAGCAGACTGAAGAGGAGGACCTTGACCAAAGACCACATTCTGCAGTGCTGGGCTAGGGGGGATACCCCAACCCTGGGGCTTGGCATCTGCAGGAACAGTCCTGGCTTAGGGGACCCCCAGATCTGGCTGTAGGGATGTGCCAGGCACCACCACTAGAGAGGGGGGACAAGGAAAGCTGGCACTCACCGGGGGCCCCATCATCCCTGGTGGCCCA